CGTCAGCCCCTGGGGAGAGCCCTGGGTTTGCGCTGTCCGCATACAGCAGCCCCCATCCCCTGACACAGACACAGCTTCCATTCCATGGACAGGTCACAGCAGGAAGGAAGAAGGACAAAGCCAAAGAAGGACAGGAGGCGGAATGGGGAGCTGGATTGCGGCGTGATCTGGCTGGTGGCTTCCATGGGTTGGACACTGGCTGAGCCTGGCCCTGACCACACAGGCCGCTGGGAGACAACCATTTGCTGTCGTTGTTGGGTTTAGGGTTGTGCTGAAACTCATCTGCAACTTCCAGAAAAGTCTTCCCCAGCCGGTGCAAAGATTAGCTTGTCAGGACCTGCCCAGCCTCCAGCTCTCCTTCCCAGGCAAGGACCACGCCTTGGCCATCCTAAGGCAGCTGAGGCGGGAGAGGCAGCTCTGTCCCTGCGGCTAATGCCTTGACCTCGGGGCCCCACCCACGGCGCCTGTCTAGACACCAGCATGCTGCCTGCTGCCCAGATCCCGACCTCGGCCCTAGCTCCCTGCATTCCGCTCACCAGACACTGGAATCTTGCCAAGGCCCAGCTGCAGGGGCTTGTCCGAATCACGTTCAGCTTTTAACTCCCCCAGGTGGTAGGCCAGAGGCCTATACGGCCAGCTCCAGCTCTGACGGCCCCGCTGTGCTGCCCATGGTGACATGGGTACACACTGGGCTCTTTGCAGCCACTCAAGGCTGCGCTCTCACCCACCAGGTGACTGTGAGCAAAGTGCTTCTTCCCCTGGGCCTCACTGTCCCCAGCCTGAATGACAAGGACATTGGGCGCAGTTAGACATGGCATCCTGGCTGCAAGCAATGGCTTGTTTTGCAAGAGCTGCTCCCTGCCAAGCCCAGGGCAGGGCCCTGGGAGCCTCAGAGCTAAGTTTTGTCTGTCCAGAGACCCAGCCTCACTTCCTCTGGAAACAGAACCTTCTTTCCTGGGTGGACCCCATTCCACAGGGATGGCGGGGAACAAATCCTGCCCACTGTAGGAGCAGGCTCATGGCTCAAGCCCAGCACCTCACGGTGCAGCCATAGTGACTAATGCATGGGGGTCCCCATGGGCCCCACTGTCAGAGCTGCTGGCTGAGCCCTCCTTTTCGGGAAAGGTGAGCCATGAGGGTGACCATGAGCCTTGCCTGCCCTGTGGAGAGGTCAAGAATGAAGCCACGTAGAGCTGGAGACAGATCTGGAGAAGCACCTGGGTCCAGCCTTGCCTGAAGCCATCCTATCCCGGGACTTCTAGGTTATGTGAGCCAAGAATCGTCCTTTCTTTTTCTGCATAAGTTGGTTTGAAGTTGTAAACTTCACACCCGAGAGTCCTGAAGAGCATAGCCACATAGAGAAGGACTCAGAGGCTGTGGCCGGGCTCGGTCACAGAGGAGCTGGTTTGAGAGGGTTGACTGCCTTGGGCCGTGGATGGGGAAGTGGTGTCACACACAACCCGTTACCTATGACCTACTTCCCATCCCAGAACCAGGTGACCTCCCAGGGCCGTTCCAGCCCACGATTCCACAATCTTTGCTGAATACCACAGGCTGACAGTGTGCTCTGGAGATGGAAAAACGGGGTGCCTCCCCAGGGCGGGCAGCGGGTCCCAGCCCACCGCCTCTCTGCAAGCAGCCTGACCCAGCAGCACTGCCAAGGTCACTTCTGTGCCCTCACCCCCCCATCACCTGGCTCTGGAAGGCGTTTCGAGGATGCCCAATTTACAGGTGGAGAAAGTGAGGCAGTACAATGAGAAGCTATTTTCCTAGTTCCAGTTCAAGACAGGCTTAGAGAGGAGAAGCCAGGCTTGAATGAGTAACAGTGAGCAGAGAGGCTGGCAACCTGGGCAGAGGCTGGCAGACAGACAGACACCAGAAGACACCGAGGGCGCTCCCTCACCAGGTAGGCAATGACGTCATAGCCTTGTTCCTTCAGCCACACGAGGATGCAGGAGGTGTCCAGGCCGCCGCTGTAGGCCAGAACCACAGAGCCTTTGCTGGACATAGCGTCTGGGGGGAGTCGAGGAAGAACCTGAGTGACCCTGAGACAGCCAGCACCCTCCGCCAGCCCCTGCAGATGGCCCAGCCCCGACCTTGGCCTTGGACAGCATTGTCTCCTGGGCAAGGCACCATTGGAGGTCGGGAATAGATGTTCACCTTCAGTGTCTGCCACCCCCAGGGACCCTGAGCTCCAACACTCTGTTCACAGCCCCACAGACCATGCTGGGGCCTGGAAATGCTGACTGCATTCCTAGGCCGGCTGGGGAGAGGTCTCTTTTGAACCCGATGCCCCAGCAGCGAAGGAAGGCGGCTGAGGCTGAGCAGTTTGGCACAAGGCCAGGATGTAAAGACAGGCGGATGTGGGAGGGGCCTTGGTACCCAGGCTCTGGCAGCTGACACATCCCCTGTCAGCGCTGCTCCTTGCTAAGCCCTGGGCAGGGCCCTGGGAGCCTCAGCCGGATCTCCCTGTGCCCCTGAGCCCCCACTACAACCCCATGAAGTAGGCGTGGTCATCACTATTGGGAAGGCAGACAGCAGGGCTCATGCTCAGAGAGGTCAGTGGCAGGCTGAGGGTCACAGAGGGCACGTGGATCCCTGCGTCGCCAGCATGCAGTGCCTCCTCCCACCTGCAGGTGGAGCAGGATGCTGCGGGGCAGGCGCCCAGCCCCAGCCCCAGGCCCTCCTACCTGGAACCCCGTGGAACCTTCACTGGTTGGAATTTTAGGCATCCTGTCTCTTTCCAAATGTGAGAACCTCTGAGACAGGGGAGCACCAGGGACCCTGAGAGCCTCTGAATTCAACTCTGCCAATGCCCGATTTGGAGGGGCTCAGAGAGCAGCTCCCTCAGTGTGCAGGTAGAGAAACTGAGGCCCAGGGAGGGAAGGAGATAGCGGTGCTTCCCTGGGGCACGGATGGGAAAGCTGGCCCTCTGCAGCCGGGAAGCGGCTGCGGTCTCCCACCTGGCCCCACCCTCAGGCCTCCGTCTCCTGGTCTTTGCAGCCATGCTTCCTCCCCGGGGCCTCTCCCTGAATCCTGGGCTGTCCTTGAGCTCACCCTGCCTCCTCCACACGCCTCCCGTGGCCCTGAGCTCAGGTGCCGTTACAAGCCCACATTGCTGAACAAGAAACCAGGGTTAGGGAGATGAGGTCACCTGCCCCAGCCCAGCCTGGGGCACCTGGCCCCAGCACCCCACATTTCCCAAATGTTCAGGGCATGTTTGTTCTGCGTGGGAATGCTTCCACCTGAGTCTGACCAATGCGACAAGGTCAGAGTCACCCAGGGACTTTATTCGACACGATTTCGCAAGTGGAACGCAGAAGGTTCCCCCCACCATCACCATTGCAGTGACGCAGGCCTCGCTATCCTGGGCGCTGTCCATGTGCCTGGAAGCTCGGGGAGGGGAAGTGGCTTTCCCAGGCCGCCCACCCTGTGCTGCAGAGCCTGGCCGCACAGCCAGGCGGACTTTGGAGTACGCAGTCCCGTGCATGTCACATAAGCACACCTGCCAGTCAGCCGGGGCTCACAGGCCCTTGCTGCCCTTTGGACTTAGAAGGGGAAGCACCTCATGGGCCAGGCAGTTGGGGCAGAGGGGGTGGCTCTGGTCGGGGGCCAACAACTTTCCCTCCTACTGGGCATTCAACCCCCTGCCAGGCCCTGAGTTGCAGGTGACTCAGCAGGCCCCGCCCCTGGAGCCAGCCGGTGGTACCCAGGGCAACTACAGCCAGGCAACTGGCCACCAGGATGGAGGGAAGGAGGGAGAAAGGGAGGCAGGGCGGACTGAGGAGGCCAGTACCTGGGATTGGAGTCAAGTTCCTGGTGTCTGGAATCTGTCTTCACGGTGCAGTGAACCACTCTGCAAAAGCAAAGCCTACTCACTGCCTGCAGGCAGTCCCGACCGTGCCAGGGGCCCTAAACCTGACCTCCCGGCCGTCCAATCTCCTGTGAGCAGCCTCACGGAGCTGGGGAGGCCCAGGAGCCCCAGAGCCACCTGTCCTGGCTCCTGCCCCTGCCCCCTGCCCCAGAAGGCATTCAGGAACTGTGTGTAAGCCTGCCCCTGTTTGTGTGTGATGACGCGGGTGGTGTGGTTGCATTTGGGGAAAGCCTGCTGCAGGCTTTAAAACAGTTCCATTGCAGTCTAATTGACCTCGTAAATTGCATTTTTTTCATATCAGATGGGTAATGTGCCAACATCATAACAAAGTTTGAGGGTGGCACCTCACGCGTGCGCGCGTGTGCGCGCGCGCACACACACACACACACACACACACACACACACGAGAGAATGCCCAATCAGCACACTCATGAACTATCCAAAAAATCACCTATTTATGTCCAATTGAGCAAGTTTCGGCATGCGGATGTATCTGTGACACCAACACCACAATCAAGGTACTGCACAGGTCCGTCTCAGGCCGAGCGTTTCCATTTGGGGTTATCCTCATTTTAGAGGCAGGAAACCGAGGCTTGGGCTAAGGAAGTTGCCCTGCGTCTGTGTGACTGGTAGGCAGAAGAGCCAGGACTCAAACCCAGAGCAGCTCGGCTCCTTAACCCGCTGCTCACTGGTGCAAGACCACATCCCTCTCGGGCAGGCTCGAGGAAGGAAGTCCTGGGCAAGTGTGGTCTGATGATGCCGACCCAAGATTCACCCAGCTCTGAGAGTCATCCCTGCTCCCGCCCCTCCCAGAGGCACCTGGAGCCCAGAGGGTAGATACAGAGATGGGCAGCTCCTGGCCAACTGGAGATGGCCAGAATCGCTCCAGTGACCCGCCATGCCTCCCTCCCATCACAGCTGTATCTTTTTTTTTCAGGTAGGGTCTCATTCTGCCGCCTAGGCTGGAGTGCAGCGATGCAATCCCAGCTCACCGCAGCCTCGACCTCCTGGGCTCAAGCGATCCTCCTGCCCCAGCTCAGCGCCACCATCCCCAAGTAGCTGGGACTATAGACACGTGACACCACACCTGCCTAATTTTTGTATTTTTTGTAGAGATGGGTTTTTTGTTTTGTTTTGTTTTGTTTTTTGAGACAGAGTCTCACTCTGTTGCCAGGGCGGGGGGAGGGGGGGCGTGCTGTGGCACCATCTCAGCTAACCCCAACCTCCGCCTCCCAGGTTCAAGCGATTCTCTTGCCTCAGCCTCCTGAGTAGCTGGGATTACAGGCGCACACTACCAGGCCCAGCTAATTTTTGTATTTTTAGTAGAGACGGGGTTTCACTATGTCGGTCAGGCTGGTCTGAAACTCGTGACTTTATGATCCGCCCACCTGGGCCTTCCAAAGTGCTGGGATTACAGGTGTGAGGCACTGCGCCTGGCGAAACTCTGTCTTAAACAAAAAGAAACCAGTGAGCCCCTCCTGCCTGCCAGCTTGTATCTGGGCAGGTGTGGGCTCTGAGGCCCTCAGCCTCTGGGGCTGAGCAATGTGAGGCAGTGCCTGGACCTGGTGTGTGTACCTGAGACTGTGTGTGTGTGTTCGTGTGTGCACCTGGGGGTGTGTACCTGAGAGTAAACACTGTGTGCACGAATGTGTTTGCGATGTGTCTGGGCTTGCACATGCGTGCCTGTGTATGTGCACATGTGTGTGGGTGCTGGGGCCTGTGTGTGCATGCAGAGAAATGAGCTGGGCAGATGGGCCTGAGAAAATGATGTAATCAGGCAGCAACGTGACTCCTGCCCTCCCAGCAGCTGTGGGGCACCCTTCTCCCTCAGCCTCAGCAGGCCCCTGGGCTGCATTTGAGTGAGGCCTGAGCCAAAAAGGAAATGAAACGGAGGGCTTGATGTCAGGGAGGGAGTGACAGGGAAAGAAGGAACCACAGCTACCATCCAGCGAGTGCTCACTCCAGGCACAGCACAGAGGTCAAGGTCACCAGACATGGGCCTCAGCTCTCCAGCCTAACTGCTCAGCTGCGAAGTGGGGGTTCGAACAGTCTGCCCTCCACAGGGCGACTGCAAGGATTCAGCGAGATGCTGGGGAAGGAGCCCGAACTGGGCCCCAAACATGTGCCCATTAAGCTCCGTGCACCGCTGCCATGGCTGACCTCAGCCACGTTCCTGGTTTTCGAAGCCTCAGTTTCCCTATCTGCACAACCTAACAGCCCTCTGGGTTCCGACACTCCTGGACACTGGGCTTTCTTCCTGGGAGCGGTGCCTGGCAGGTCCTGGCTGAACTCAGCCTCCCCTAGTCCCAGCCCCAGCCCCACCACACCCCCCAGAAAGTGCCACGGCAGGTTTTCCAGCTCCCAGGCAAATGCCCACTGCCCCCAGCTCCCAGTGTCAGCCCAGCCCTCCTTTACCAGAAGACACCTGGGAGGAGGGAAGGTGGCCTTGCATCAAGGTACCAGAGCCACCAGGCTTTCCTTGGTGTGGCATTCTCTCTGTCTCCAGCCACAGCCGTCTGGCCAACTTCCAGCCAACAGGCCAGGCTGGCACTCACTTGACACTAAGGAAAACTCGTGCTACTTGAAAATGTCAGAGCTGGAATGATGACAAGAGCAGATACTATGTTCAGTCACGGGTGTGTCATCTCAAGAGACGATTTACAGAGGAGGCGGAGGCTAACTGGCTAGCCGTGGTCACAAGCCAGTGGCTTCAAACCCAGTCTGACTGCAGGCCACCTGCTCCTCCCTGCACTAGGCCCTATGCTCCCCTGGCTCCTGGGAGACCTCAGATCTTCTCCCTTCACTCATGATTCATGAGTGAATCGTGGCCAACGTGCCCTGTATTTCTTTTTTTTTTTTGAGACGGAGTCTTGCTCTGTTGCCTGTGCTGGAATGCAGTGGGGTGATCTCGGCTCGCTGCAACCTCCACCTCCTGAGTTCAAGCGATTTTCGTGCCTCAGCCTCCCAAGTAGCTGAGACCACAGGTGGCTGCCACCACACCCAGCTAATTTTTGTATTTTTAGTAGAGATAGGGTTTCACCATGTTGGCCAGGCTGGTCTCGAACTCCTGACCTCAAGTGACCCACTCACCTCAGCCTCTCAAATTGCTGGGATTACCGGTATGAGCCACCGTGCCCAG